GAAAGGAGTGGGAGGAAGTATAAACTTACCAAATCCCACCGCTTCTCCATAAGTCATCGAGTGAAATGAAACGGACAGCCTCCTTGTATAGATAAACCTTAGACTTTCCTAAATACACTATTGTTATTACCTTTTAACTTTGTCACACAAAAATAACCCATGTATATGTATATAATAATAAGTACCAAATATCTATCTTATTTTAGTGTATGATATAAATGAACAATTATCCGTGACTTATAAGTATAAACCAGAAGGTTTGTCAGTGTATGCCGAATGTGTGATTCGGGGCTATATAAATAGAATTGACTTGATAATGCAGTTATATCGTCTATAAGAAAACAGTTCAGTCTTGAGTTCGGAGGGTTGTCGAAACAAAAGGTTTGATCCGCTCATGTTCTATCAGAATGCCAATCAGCAAGCGCGCTGAGTCCTGTCCTGTTTGTAAGTCCCTCTGAGCCGAAGGCTTTAATGGTGAAATGTTCCACTCCCCCCTCCTCGGCTCCTGTGAGGATAAATCTTCTCTGGACTGCTCCGTGTTTACACACCTCCGTCCCCTTCGCACTAACCCTTCACCCCTCATCCATCCCTTCATTTATCCATCCCCTCCTTTTCCCCTCTGCTTGGCCAGTGTGCAGTGATGCAGTGCTGTTCGCTGCTGTCTTTACCCGCCCTGGTCACCACTTACTGTACAGCTCCGTCTGTACTCTCCCCTCTACCAACTTCATCTTTATGCTCTGTCGGGTGGATTTTAAATCTCAGAAAACTGAGGAGTCGTGGGGTTCTTGGGCTGCTGGTTGTAAGGACTTCAATAAAATATAAGACAGAGCAGTGTTTCATTTAGAACCAAGGTTGGGTTGGAGTAGGAGTTTGCAAACCGGTTTGATATTAAGCCAAACACCAGACCGAACCAGGTGTCACACTTGACTGAGCAGCTGCTCCCGAGTGGAACATAATGACACTCTGTTCCAACAGCAAATGAGCGTCAGACTGTCACGTAGCATCAATACTCTGTCCACACTGAATGCATCAAATACATACCTCTGTAACATTGAGAACAAACCACAGAGCTATCAGCTGTGTGTGAGATCAGACTGAAGACACAACCACTTAAAAGGCAGGTCAGTAGTGTACTTGTTATCTTTCTACATTTGTGACTTTTTGAAACAGAAAACTAGAAATGATATAGTGTAGCCAACAGCAAGCAGCCTAGCTTGTTATTAGCAATGGTTATTTACCAGAAACTTCTCCTTACAGCCAGTCTTCACCTTAGTTAGTTAGTTTTACTGGTGAAATGAGAAGGAATCGTGTAGATAACTCCTCGATTCAATTTTATGAATCCGCAGTTTCTCGTCCACTGCAGCGCTTTTAAAGCAAGTGTCAGCCATAAATAGAAACAGGGTGTCCGACAAAAGTTCAGCTCCAAACTGCACTCCACATCACCTGCAGCCAGTTAAGACGCCTCTTTCATCAGCTGCCGATCCACAAAGTTGTCATATTGGTGCAGTTTCTTCTCTCGTCACCGCAAAAAACATATGAACTTTTCTGTGAACAAACAGTGTGTGCTGGTCTGCCCTTCCCACCTCTACTTAAATTTGATCTCCATAATGTTGCCGACACCGTCCTCGGCTCAACAGTAAATTGCTCACAGCCTGTCATAAACTAGTGGCCCTGTTATAGACATATTAAATCAACCATGTTGTTAATTACTAATGCAATATGAGCTGGATTTAGCACCGTGACACCGACTGCACGCGCCAAAACTTGTCATAATGGCAAATGCTGGTTCAGCCAGTTTGCATAAAATCAAATTGGGTTAAGCTCGTTACACCGGACCGGTAAAATGGGAAAGTAATCCAGCTCTATTTAGAACAAAAAATTGTGAATAATGTTTCTGGATCTAACTGTGTGACTTTGTACCTGTTTTACAGTGAAGTTTGCACAATTCCATTTAATTAACTCAAAGGAATTGCTGGTGTCTTTAACATCTTTGTCAACTGGGAAGAGTCGTTTTTAACATACGTGGAGAGTTAAGTTTCCAATAATAGACTTAAATAAAGATTTTCTCTAAGCTCCCTCCAACTTATGACTAAATTGCAAAGATTTTTTAAATATTAGGAAATTATTCAGAAAGGGCAGCATCCCCTTTAGCTTCAGTCAGACATAGTCCTCACACAGTTCCACTTTTTTGTTCTCTGTTCCCTTCTCTCCTCGTCCATAAAAAACAAAGGTAGAAATCATTGCAGGAGGAAAAGAGGCAGAGATCAAGGGCGGGAAGGTGGCCTCGTCCTCATCTGCGTTAAACTGGGTCCCAGGCAGTTTGAGTACAGTACAGCACAGCACTGGCCCATATTCTATATATAGAAGTCCTTCTTTCAGATTGAGTTGGAACAGGGTGAAATGGGTCAGATGGCTGGACAACCTCAGGTCCTTGGCCTTGATTTTTCCAGGACCCTGGGCTGTCTGGTCATCTGCTCTCAGAGGTCACGTCAGGTGACGAGGTCGCCCATTTATTGAGTAGAAGAGGAGTTAAAAGAAGTAAGGAAAGAGATTTCCTGTTGGGAAGTTCTGGTGTTAGATGAGGCGTTAGGTTCTGTAGTCGAACAAGATGTTGAGATACAAGATCTCACACACAGGAGGATATTTCCCAACACTCCCGGTGGTGAGCACGTGTCAGTGGAGGTGGTGGGATGGAGCTGGAATGTCACCAATAACCCGATGCAATAACCCGCTGCTGCGACAAGACTTTTAACCTGGCATGAGATGTGAAAGGCGACACAGCTTTTTGGCCTTTCCACCACGTCACCTTGCATGCTAAAACTGAGCGTGTGTGTGTGTGCGTGTGTGTGTGTGCAGAGAGAGATTTGATGCGTGTGTTTGCTTGAAGAGTTCATTTCCAAAACACTCTTTTTACATTTTGAAGGAAGTACTTTTACTTTTGTTGAATATCTGTGAGTGCAGGAAAAAAAATAGTTGAATCTATCTCCAATGCAAATGAACTTGTTTCAAGTGTTGTGCCTTCTTCTTCTGCAGTGGCAGCCGACCAGAAAATTAGCGCCACCGACTGCTTATCTTGATAAAACAACTCCTAAAATTGACATGCATTTTCCTTTGGCGATGTTCAGAAAATTCAGTTAAAATGTGCGCTACATTTGGCTAGAAAGACAAACGAATCACATTTCTAGAATTTTCTTTATGGTTTTAGAACTCAAATATTAACAAAAATGACAATATAAGCTGGAGAGTTTTGCAGCATAATGTTTAACTTAAATAACTGTAAATAAAAATATATTGATATAGAGTGCTGCAGATGACGTTTTTTTTGTAGGCCGATGCGAAAGTTAGCGTCACTAGACAAAAAGCCAGTAAGATTTATTGTATTGTATGTATTTTGGATTATTGCAGGGAAAAAAAAAACATGCATGTTATAAATGTTTGGTTTTTTTGTGTGTGTGTGTGTGGAAAAAAACCCATTTATGATACTTACATGTTTTGTTCAGTAACATAATCTTCGATCACCACTTGTATGATTTTTTTAAGCCTAAATTCAATTGCCAGAAATGAAAAACTAAGTTAAATTATAAACCAACTACAGCAAGGTCACATGACATCGCTGTCGCCACAACAAGGCTGTAAAGTCTTTTTTAAGACACATAAAAGCTTCAAAATTCACAGCGGGGTATTTACAGACGTATTTGATGTTCTAGAACAAAACGGAAAAGTCTCTTCAGCTTGTGTTAGCCACAGACCTTATTTCAGACATCTAACCAAAAACCTATTCAAAAAACAGACTACCATCAAGACAAGGAAACAGGAAGTTCTTAAATGCTGACTCGACGTCAAAAAATATGCTCATATTATTTTAAAAGCACAACCCCTTGCTGGTGGCAGCAGCACTTCATGCCACTTTTCTATATAAAGCCTCGCCGCCCCAGGAATTAAATACATTTTCCCCCGATCGCCCTCTGCCCACTTATCAGCTCCCATAGCAGCTCTTTGTATCTGCTCATGTGGCAGCTCGACTCCTCTCCTCACCATAAAGTGAACTCTGTAGCTGTTGCTGTGTCTCGTGTGTGAGAAAATATGGATGACAAGAGACTAGTTGTTGAGGTTGAGAAATACCCTGAGCTTAACGACCCACAGTCCCGTCATTATAAAGACAATGGCCTAAAAGATATCACCTGGTGAGTCACAGCTCTGGAGATTTGCTGTTCAGGTGAGAAATCAAGTTTAATAAGGGGCTGTCCACACCTGATTTAAAGCTGATGCAGAGGTGGAGGAGGTGATAACTTTGTGCGACACGTCCTGTTTTTGCTAGGGGCGGCACTTGACATGTATCTCATGATGCACTGCGGTGCCAGTGTGTTTTCAGCTTCATTCCTGCAGCACGAAACACAAAAACAAAAATGCAAAAAAGCCTCCATCTTGATCAGATAGTACTTAAATAGTACTTTAAAAGATTTATTTCCCATAAATCATGTTAAACAAAAAAAACGCAGGATATGATTTTATTTTCTGACAAAAAAAAATAAAAAGTTGAAAGAAGTTTCTTTAGAAATGACTTGTTTGTTGAAAAATGACAATTAAAAAATAAAATTCTTGAAACATTATTTGTGTTGGAAACAGACTGGAAATATTTCTTTACCTCAGTGGCAGATTTTTTTTTACTTATTTCAGTGATCAATGATCAGATAAATTGGAGACTTTGACAGTTTGTGCTTATATTTACAATTGTTTCAGATGCAGCAGCAGATTAGTCTCATGGAACGTTAGAGCTGGACAGATAACATTTTATATAATCATATAAAGGCTGATGTGTTTTTGGAAAGACTCTTGTTGTGAGCAGTGATGTTGGCGTGACTGATTTTCACCTGCGGGCTCGTCGGCTCTGCTGCAGATCACTAACTGATCACCTGTCCATCACTGTATACATGTATGTGTCTGTGTGGGCGCAGGTGCACATCAGGCTAAGCCCCGCCTTCTTCCTGTCTTTCCACCAGTCCACAGTCCCACAGCCCACCTTCTCCATGCCAGTCACCGTGCCAGTATCCAATCAGAATGCAGCGGCGGCGGCGGCAGCAGCCCTCCAGTTCAGTAACAACCCCGGCGGCGCCCTGGTCACCACCACCTCCTTCGTCACCTCCACCCTCACAGACCCCCGCCTCCTGTCGCCACAGCAACCAGCTCTGCAGAGGAACGCTGTGTCGCCAGGGTTACCACAGCGACCAGCCAGCGCAGGTAAGAGACACAGCTGGACTGTTTTCTGTCCAGCTCCTCAGCGTCTTTGTGTAAATCAATAATTTGTTACATTTTCACATATATATATATATATAAACGTCCAGTTTGAACACTGTCAGCTGCTGATTGATCCAAACATCCGTTATATTAAAGCTTCAGATATCTGCTGTTTTAAATGCCAAGTGATCTGGAAACTCTCTCCTTGAAGAATCCTCTGATGCTCAGCAACTGATGAGTTTTGCATTTCTGAAAGCAGCAGCAGCGGTTTGACATAAATTGAAGGAGAGAAAAAAGCGCCTCTGACAAAAACTCAAAACTTCTACAAAAGAAAACAGAAGGAAAAAGACTTCAGAGAGCCGCCCACACGGTTTGATTGACAGGTGTTCTGTTGCAGCGCACAAACAGCAAAGTGAAGACAAATTTCAAAACATAAAGAAACTCAAGATTTCCATTTAATTTAATGAGTCAAAGGAGACGTTCACAGTGTTTCAAGCCTGCATTAAAACAAAGCTTGTGTCCCTGTATGCACATTGAAAGCACTTTTAATGACCTGAATTGTTCCCATCACCAAGCACGTCTCGATATCCAGAAATGTAGTAGTCGATACCAGCACCAGCACCACAATTCTCAATACCAAATTCGATACCACAATAAAAAAACAGTAACAAAACAGTAGCACAGAGAGTCACTGCAGCCGCACTCTTCACCTTCGTGTACGTGTTGTTTTATTCTTCCGTGGTGGTAGTCGTTCTTCTTCGTCTTTTGGAGGTTAACAACAAACTAGAACAGCAGTAGGCGTTTATGCTGCCCCGTCAGGTCCAGAAGAATTGCATCCCCGTTAACTGGGAAAAAACAAGTACTGTCATGTTTTCAAAATTGTGGCATCAGCTTGGACCCAAATATCTCTTCACATGACATCCCAACCCGTCACTTAGACTGATATTACTTTAGAAATTACAGCAGGTAACAGTGATAACGTAAATATGGGCATGTGAGTCTTGTATCAGAACTTAAAACATACTTTAAAAAAGATATGAACCTGTCCTTTAATTAGAATTTGCCTAATTACATGAAGATAATTAAGATTAATGTAACATAAGAAAGTTATATTTTATTTAAGTATTTTACTTTAAGAAAGACAAAATAATTAAAGAGAAGGTTCCATTTCTCCATTTTCATTTTCATTTCACAAAAAATCACCATGTACTTGTAATTTTACCTGATTAGGGTAGAGAAAGAAATTCATTAACAAATACAAAGTTTAAAGAATCTTTTCGTAATTAGATAATTAAGTTTGCTCTGTTCTCAGTCTGAGTGAACACTTGTCAAAGGACTTTAAAGTAACAACATGATTACACAATTAAAAACATCTGTCAGCCTCTACTCATGTTAATATGTGACTCATTTGAACATGTGACTGCTGTTTGTGTCTGTCAGGTCAGGCCACAGCCCTTTTTACACAGAGATGGCGCTATAGAGTCGCTACAGAGTCACTTCTTTACGCTGCCTTTGCACTTTTATGCAGAACCAACTGACAGCGTGTGTGATTTTAGACAGCATGACGACATTGCGGAATTAAGTGAGGCGTAACGGTTGTGACATTCGAAACATCAGCGTCAGCCTCAAGTGTGACATATAATATACGCGTCAGCAGCACTTTATAAACAATAACAATCATTTACCATTCCTGTTATATGGCGGCTGATCTTGTCCTCTGCTCGGAGGGTAAGGAGCTCCTGGACCTCAGTGTTCTCCTGATTTACGGATGCTTTCGGCTGTTCTTCTTTCTCTTTGAGTTAGCCGCTAACTGCTATTAACACTGGGTGCTTTGGAAATCTCCTGTGGTGGGTCGCACACATTAACACATCATCTAAAATGTCACACCGAGCCGCTAATCATCCCGTCCTGCCAGCTGTCTCTTTCATACAGACGTTTCGGTGCTGTTGATACCTCCATTCCCCACTCAGAGGCAAGACAACTCTGTCCCCCCATGCTGCGATTGTACCTTTTATACAGAACATCTAGACGACATACTGGCGTTTAAAAAGGGGCTTATATGTGTTTGGCCTCCTCTTTGTCCAGACTGTCCTCCCTGACATTTTAAATAAATGCACAAACAATTTCAAGACAAATCGTTCGGCATATTCACCACATGTCAAAGTACTGATTTGCCAAATGACTTTTATAGCTGGAATGATTTGAACCATCTTTATAGACGCGGTTGCCATAGTGATACAGTTAGTCAAAGACCTGTTTTAAAAGTAATAGCTGTTATTTTTCTACCCGCTTTATGTAGAAGCGCAGTTCAGCGCTTTACAGTGAATTCTTTCCGAGTCGACAAGCAGCAAAATGACCAAAGAAGTGAGTGTGTGTCAGTGTATTGACGTCCAGTCTCCACACATGGTTCCCTGTCAGGCTGATAAGTGCACACGGACTTACGATGACAGAAATCCATCATTTCCTGGACTGAGGCTGGTGCACTCCTGCGTGCGCCCGCTGCCTCTGTGTGGCAAAGCAATCCCTCACCCTCTGACTAAAAGGATTTGTGCCCCATTTTTGCATCTCAGACAAGGTTACTTATCAAGCTTTGTTCCGACCAGCGTAATCTCATTGTAAGTCAGAATTAGGTGATGTAACGCGCAACAAATGCATTACAGCATCTTTCATAACATGCCGTTCTCCAAGGCAAGAGGGTTTCACATAGCAGTAATGGCCGCCCCCCCCTCTCCCTCCCTCCTCATAACCTCAGCTGTGCAAATACTCGGCTGTACCCTGCTATGCATCCCACATTACCAGAGATGTATTGGGTTCATCATGTTTGCTTATTGGTGTTTTTCCATGCGTCCATCCGGACAGACAGATATTTTTCAGTCACCCCTAATGACCTCGACTTTCTGCCTTTCTGAAGAGAGTTTGAGCCAAAAAGTGAATCTGTACCACAACAAGGGGAAAAAGTGTCAGCGTAGGAAAATGCCTGTCTGCCATGTTCTGCTGAAATAAAGATAAAAGCGTCAGGACATATTGTGCTGTATAAATGTACGTCTGTTTGCTGTTTAGGAACAGACCATAATAGTAGCAACTGATTTTCATCAGCTTTAAAAAAACATTACTGTGATTGTAGCTGTTGAGCTCATCAGCAAATTCAGGTTTTATGTTGAAACATGTTTAATTGTTTTTTAAATCTCTTTCTTCTTGATGTAAATCAAACTTTCTTAACTCTAAACCACACTTTATATTCTACCATGTGGGTCAACAGGATTAATAATACTAATAATAATAATAATAATAATACAAGAAAAATAGAGTGATTTTGATGAAATATCGCTTTTTCAAGCTCAGATTTGATTTCATATTTTATTTTTTTAATGTATTTATTTATTTTTGACGTAAGCGTGATGATCCAGTGACCATCAGAAATTTGAAAATCCAACAGTAATTTCTGTTTTTACATTTCCTGGCAATGATAAATGGTCTAATTTGGGTGGTTTTCTGCAACATAATAAATATAAAATACAACCATTTATAGTCGTATGCCCCTCTCAAAATAAAAAACACAAGTCCCCCCAGTGTTTAAAAAATTATTTGACATGCCTCCTTCTTTTTGCACCACCCCCCTTCTCTCTCATAATTAACAAACAGTCCCTAAGATATCAAAAAAAGTTCTGTTTACACATGTGCAAACAATGGTGTGTTGTTTTGACACCAATGTCTGAAGCTGTCCGCGCTCCAACACAACAACGAAATAAACAAGAAATAGACAAAACGGAGCGTAAAAAAACACGTGAACAACACATAACATAAAAACATTGTTATAACCATCGTTTGCCATAATAAAGTAATAAAAAGAACAAGAGAAACGATAGAACTCTGACTTTACTTTATCATGACCTACACAGTCCCACAGCTGGCTGATTGGAGGTTATTTTTACTGTTAATTTAGATAAAAATCAGGCATTTAAAACAGTTCTGTATCTTAAATAAAGCTTCATTTTTTTTTCACAATTTAAAATGAGTGTGATGATTTTGTCTCTGAATGTGACACAAGTACCATCGAGCACTGGTGAAACCGGCACTTAGAAATTAACTGGTAATGCAGAATTGATACCAATTATGGTGCTTCACCAAGTGAAGTGAGAGTCGATTGCAGTAGCACTTTTTTTAATGACACACTTGATTTAATGATATTTTTGAAACTGGGATGTGCAGCATTTTAGATCAGTGCTGTTCAGATGAACTGTTTGATATTAAATGAAATCGATGGTGTAAGATTTAATGTTGACGTGTGTTCTTGTGTCGCAGGAGCTCTGTTAGGAGGAGATCTGGGGAATTCAAATGGAGCGTGCCCGAGTCCAGTCCGTAAGTAGCCTTAATTTTATTTCTTCCTTCCTTTACATTTTAGAGAACAGTTGAGTTTGCATTGATACTCACACACACTCACACACTACAGCTCTGCTCTCTTGTGTTTTAGCCTGACTTTCTAACTTGACTTGAGTCTGATTTACAGTTGAGCGATGCAGAGTATCTAATGTGTGGCAACAGGCGGTCACATGTGCACAACTCACACTCTGACTCAAACACACAGACGTACACACAAGCACGAAAGCACCTGTTGACTGGCGACAGCTGAGGGTCACAGTACAAGCTGCTTGTAAACGGTCCAAAGAACAGAATGAGTTTCAGGTTGAGAGAGAAAAACAGGAGGAGAGAGTCTGGAAAAAAAGACGAACTGAAACTCACAGAAAAGTTACATAAAACTCTTGTGAGGCTCCTCGGCTGCTTTGTGTTGGTGTTGTTTTCAGAAATGTGACTCAGAAACCAGAACTTAATAGAATATCTTCAAAGTTTGATAATATCACTGACCTGTTGTGGTGTCTGCCAGCTGGTACAAACACCAGAAAGTGAGCTCAACAGTTTGTTCCTGTTGCCAGTTTTACCGACAACCAAAACTCGAGGCGCTAAAATTTTAGTATGACTCCAACGTGACTGCTGAAGAACAAAGTCACCGCTGAATTTTGTCATAGTCCAATAATCTAAACAGATCTGTTGTGCAAGTTTTTTCCTCCTCACCTGCATGTTGTGTAATCATTAAAAGGTCACAAAAACATATTTTCCAACTGTCTCCTCCTGCTGTGTAGCCGTGCAGATAGTTTCAGTTTGAGATTTTGAGATATCTGACTTTAAGAATTCAGTGACTGTCCCACTCTGTGTGTCGGCAAGTGACATTTAGAGACCTCAAAGGCAACCAGTCTGTCCAGAGACAAATGTTCACAGACCTCACTGTGGACAAACTTTAATTTTTAAGAAAAAGAAAAAGAGGACCCGACAGATTTCAGCAACAGCTGAAAAGAGGCCTGATAATGAGAGAGAGAGAGAGAGTTCTTCATTTCACTCTCATTTATTCAGCCTTTCATTTTCATGTTAGCTGATAACTGTTTTGAAAGGGAGTTATTTAGTTTTTGCTTGCTCTAACTGGTTCTGTCATTGCTAACACATTAATAGTGATACAGTTAAGGTCTGAACATAACGTTTTTTTGTTTTTGTTTTTGTTTGTTTTTTTTTAAAGGCGTTAATCAAGTGGTGCTATTTTGTCCCAGTGACATTGCTCACGTCAAACCAGTGAGAAGAGCACTGAGGAAAACAAAAAGGCAAAAATCTCTGTGTAACTCTGGCAGAAAACTGTGTGTTCTTGTCCCTATCACTCCAGCAAGAAGCAGTTTGAGAAAATTCAATTCAGTTAAATTCCTTTTTTTTATTGTAATTGTAAATAAATACAATGAAATTCAAAGCACAGAATAAAACAGACAGATTATATAAGTAATAGATAAAAAAGGAGGGGATAGGATACCAAACACACACACACTGCACACCCACGCACGCACACATACGCACACACAAGCAGTGCCAACATATGCCGTGCACATAAAATAGATAAATGAATAAAATTATTGCACACGATATAAGTACGAATATTAAATATTACTGGCTGTGTGATTTCAGTGCAGCCTTTAAAGGAGAAGTGTGTAGGATTTCTACCAGCTGTATACTGTGTGTGTGTGAATATTGTGTGCCTTTGGTGAATCTAAACTAACCCTTTTAAACATTAAAGTAGACCAAACACCTAAAGTCACATCATAACACAAACAAACAAACCGTTTGAGGCAGCTGCAGACCAGCAGCTCCTGTGTTCAGGGATGTTAAATCACTGGTCTTAATGGAGTCTGGCTTTCAAGAGGGCAAAGGAGGGGCTTTATTTTACAGTTGGAAATCACTGCCTGACACTGAGGTAAAGCTGTGAACATATTCCAAATATACTTTACACTTAAAGTGATGTAGATGGTTTTCGTTGGGACTTTCTTTTAAGGAAGCTAACATGCGTTGTGCTGCTGACCTCGTCCACAGCCGTACATTGTTTAGCTTCCATGTCAGACTCCAGCCTGCTTCTCCAAACTGAGGGCGTGCCGACTGACATCTACTTCATGTGATATACTGTCGATGTACAAGTACCCCACACAACCCCTCTTCAAAACATCTGAATGTTCCTCTAATCCTGCCTACAGAGCTGTCATTGGTCGATTGTTTCTCTAACCAGGGGAAACAGCCGTCAGTGAACACAACACCTGACCTATTTGAATCGTTAGAGCAAGTCAGAGATGTGGTCAGTGACTCAGAGCTCTGGCACCAAATAAACTCCACCAGTCAGTCACATCTTGAAGTGGAAACCAGCTGCTTTGGGTTGAAAGTGGCTCCAGGAGCCAAATAATGTGAGTTTTACTGTAACGCTGGTACCAAAGTAAAAACCCTGACAGCCGTCTGCTCAGCTTTACTCTTTCCTGTCTTCACCCACTGCTCCGCCCCTCCACCTACTCCTCCCCTCCCTCCCCCTTTCATCCTGTCTCTCTCAGCTGTTCCCCCTCGTCTTCTCTCTGGAATAATCTACCCCCACCCCCCTCGTCCAACTGTCCCTTGTCTTGGCACAGGACTCTCCTCAGAGGTGACTTTGACACTGGCCAGAGCTCTCCCCTTAAATCCCATTAGCCAGGACAGATACTGCCAGCCCGCCCATTGTAATAGATATAGTAGGAAGGTGTTTTTTTTTCTTCTTTCTATATTCACTTTGATAAATGTATTGTCTCAGGGTAAGGTGGGCCAAAAGAAATCAATACATTTACATTAACTTCCCTGCACTGTATCAGAGCAACACACCCAACGCCAAGTTTCGATATTGGTATTAGTTTGAAGGCGATTAATGAAAGAGCGAATACATTCTCTGGAACGCTGCTCTTAAGAGTTGGCCTCTGTCAACGCATGTGTGTTTGAGACCAATTTTATGTGCTAACTCTTTAAAAAGATGAAGCGCATGATAATATACCAAGGTCAAACCCCTGTGTTTCCAACATATCACAGTTAAAGTGTTAGTATGAATTAAAAGATTAATACAAAGTTAGTTTATTTCNGCAATTGCCAGAAATGAAAAACTAAGTTAAATTATAAACCAACTACAGCAAGGTCACATGACATCGCTGTCGCCACAACAAGGCTGTAAAGTCTTTTTTAAGACACATAAAAGCTTCAAAATTCACAGCGGGGTATTTACAGACGTATTTGATGTTCTAGAACAAAACGGAAAAGTCTCTTCAGCTTGTGTTAGCCACAGACCTTATTTCAGACATCTAACCAAAAACCTATTCAAAAAACAGACTACCATCAAGACAAGGAAACAGGAAGTTCTTAAATGCTGACTCGACGTCAAAAAATATGCTCATATTATTTTAAAAGCACAACCCCTTGCTGGTGGCAGCAGCACTTCATGCCACTTTTCTATATAAAGCCTCGCCGCCCCAGGAATTAAATACATTTTCCCCCGATCGCCCTCTGCCCACTTATCAGCTCCCATAGCAGCTCTTTGTATCTGCTCATGTGGCAGCTCGACTCCTCTCCTCACCATAAAGTGAACTCTGTAGCTGTTGCTGTGTCTCGTGTGTGAGAAAATATGGATGACAAGAGACTAGTTGTTGAGGTTGAGAAATACCCTGAGCTTAACGACCCACAGTCCCGTCATTATAAAGACAATGGCCTAAAAGATATCACCTGGTGAGTCACAGCTCTGGAGATTTGCTGTTCAGGTGAGAAATCAAGTTTAATAAGGGGCTGTCCACACCTGATTTAAAGCTGATGCAGAGGTGGAGGAGGTGATAACTTTGTGCGACACGTCCTGTTTTTGCTAGGGGCGGCACTTGACATGTATCTCATGATGCACTGCGGTGCCAGTGTGTTTTCAGCTTCATTCCTGCAGCACGAAACACAAAAACAAAAATGCAAAAAAGCCTCCATCTTGATCAGATAGTACTTAAATAGTACTTTAAAAGATTTATTTCCCATAAATCATGTTAAACAAAAAAAACGCAGGATATGATTTTATTTTCTGACAAAAAAAAATAAAAAGTTGAAAGAAGTTTCTTTAGAAATGACTTGTTTGTTGAAAAATGACAATTAAAAAATAAAATTCTTGAAACATTATTTGTGTTGGAAACAGACTGGAAATATTTCTTTACCTCAGTGGCAGATTTTTTTTTACTTATTTCAGTGATCAATGATCAGATAAATTGGAGACTTTGACAGTTTGTGCTTATATTTACAATTGTTTCAGATGCAGCAGCAGATTAGTCTCATGGAACGTTAGAGCTGGACAGATAACATTTTATATAATCATATAAAGGCTGATGTGTTTTTGGAAAGACTCTTGTTGTGAGCAGTGATGTTGGCGTGACTGATTTTCACCTGCGGGCTCGTCGGCTCTGCTGCAGATCACTAACTGATCACCTGTCCATCACTGTATACATGTATGTGTCTGTGTGGGCGCAGGTGCACATCAGGCTAAGCCCCGCCTTCTTCCTGTCTTTCCACCAGTCCACAGTCCCACAGCCCACCTTCTCCATGCCAGTCACCGTGCCAGTATCCAATCAGAATGCAGCGGCGGCGGCGGCAGCAGCCCTCCAGTTCAGTAACAACCCCGGCGGCGCCCTGGTCACCACCACCTCCTTCGTCACCTCCACCCTCACAGACCCCCGCCTCCTGTCGCCACAGCAACCAGCTCTGCAGAGGAACGCTGTGTCGCCAGGGTTACCACAGCGACCAGCCAGCGCAGGTAAGAGACACAGCTGGACTGTTTTCTGTCCAGCTCCTCAGCGTCTTTGTGTAAATCAATAATTTGTTACATTTTCACATATATATATATATATAAACGTCCAGTTTGAACACTGTCAGCTGCTGATTGATCCAAACATCCGTTATATTAAAGCTTCAGATATCTGCTGTTTTAAATGCCAAGTGATCTGGAAACTCTCTCCTTGAAGAAT